TCTCCTGCATCTAGCACATATCAATAATAGCTGAACGAATGAGGAGTTACATGAATGTCTAGGAAGACCGTTGAGGTTTCAATCTCCCTCTACGCAAACAGAGCATGTACTGCTAAGAGATGTTAGGAAATTGAAAAAGATATAAATGTAACTGGAGTGCTCTTGGTAATACCAGAAAGGTGCCTGGGAAACTCTAAAAGGTGTATCAAGGTGTCGCGTTACAATCAGTAGTGGGAGCGGCTCCAGTCCTAAGAAAACTCAACACTACCCTTCAAACCAGAGGCACCCCAATGTTGAAAAACTGAAGAGGATGCAATGTGCTCTGTGGCGCTGCAGATAACACCCGCCCCGTCTTCCTCTCTTAACCTTCCAACTGTGCAAACTCCTCTGGAAAGGCTGCTCTCCACACCTGGAGGGCCCCATCGGGAGGAAGGAGACAGGTGCGGGCGGGGAGCCAAACACCCCCAAAGTACAACAGCGGCGCGGCAGTGACAGTTTTGAACGGACACGAAAGGGAGAAAACCCGAACCTTTAGGAGGCGCTTAACTGGTGGGTCTCAGTCCTTACCCTCGGACTAGTCAACCTTCTGCACTCCGACCAGCAATAGGAAGGGTAAGGGCGGAGACACTCTTTCCTCCAACCTGGTGACCCCAGAGCAATGAGCCCATCATAGAGTAGTTCCCAGGGATGCCTGCACACTCACCTCAGCGGCCAGCTCCACCTTCGCTCACATTCCGACCCCGCCGCCTTCCCCCCGCCCCTCCAAGCCCTTTGTTTTGATTCCCGACTCCGCAGCCCCCGCCGCCGCCGCCAAGCGCACCCTCCACTTCCGCTTCCGTACCGCACCGCACCGCACCAGTCGTAAAACCGACGCCCTTTTCTTTCCCTCGCTCCGCCCCTTCCTCCGGCCCTCCCTCGCCGCCAGGTCCTCTCCGCGCAGAGAGTGCTGGGAATCGGGGGGGGCGGGGCCTCGCGGCCCTGCAGCCTCGTCAGGCTCAGTCCCCTCCCGATAAACCTTTAAATAGAGACCTTCCCGGGGGGCGGCTCGGGCTTTTTTTGGGAAAATCCTCAATTTAAGGAGGCCTTCATCCTGGCTTATCGTCGTGGAGTGGAAGGAACTTAAGAGCAGTGAATTAGGGAGTTTGTGAAGTGGAACCAGGGGAAAAAAACCTGCCAACCAGGGTTTGATACAATGCAGTTCTTTTCGGTCTTTTGAGGAGAGGCGGTTTAAATTGGAATTCGATGAAATGCCCGAATGTTATGGTTTTCTCTCTCCCCCTCTTTCTGTGTCTCTGCCTCTCCATCCTCTCTCGCTTTCGTCTTGTCACGTGATGGTTTTACTTAAAAAAAAAAAAATTAAATGACGCATATTTTTCACAGCATACTTAATCTAGTGCAACCTAGCGGCGAGTGGGAAAAAAAAAGTCTCAAACGAGCTAATCTCTTAGTCCTTCGGGCCGGCAGGACTTCTCGCAGGGTTATGACCCAGCTGGCAAAAATAAAGTGTGTACTAGGACTAGGCTGGATGTTGTCACCAACAATTAAGAGGGCCGGAGCTTGTTGTAAGTCAACACAAGTTTTCCAGAGACAGGTTGGGCCGGCAAAAAGTAGATCTTGTACTTCCAAAAGCCTTGTAGAGCAAATAACAGAATGTGTTTTAGGTGGATAGGTACCTTCTGTTTGGTTCCCCTGCCTCCCCTTCACCTCAAAATCTACTTTTACCTGAGATAAAAAAAAGTTTTTTTTTAATTCAGTAAGCGCGATGGTCATTTGCAAAACTGCCAGCAGCTCACTACTTCCTGTTTTAAGTTAGAAAAACAAAGCACCTGTAGTGTCTAAGTCTAGGTACAGTTTAGCATGTGCTAGTGGAATACTACAGAAAGTTTATAGCCAAGAGACAGATTCTCTTTGCAGAAAAATCAGTAATGAGAACTTGTCAAAAGAGACCTATAGTCCCCACAACCCGCTGAGTCTTGAGACTGCAGTGTGAGGCAATTTCATTAGTCAATCCAGTCTGTGGGGTGAATTTCTGGGGAAGCTAAAACATCGTGGTAGACCTGTATTAAGGAGGGCAAGATCAAACACATAGCCGAAGAATCATTTGTGCTTGAATTTCATTTTCCAGTAGGCAGATGACAAGTACACACCCATCATCTGCCCACTTCGGTATTTATTACCGCTGAGTAAATCTTCATTGTGTCTGTGTGGTGAGTATTTTCTGAGTGGGAATTAGAACAGATGATAAAGCAACTCTTTCTAGAGTTTTGTTTTGCTTTGCTTTGTTTTGTTTGTTTTCAAGTGTCAAGTATGTTTCTTTTTAGGGGTGTTTTTCTTTCTCCTTATTCCACTTGAGTATCTCTGAACACAGGCCATATTAACTAAAAGTATAAAAAAGGAAACAAATTGGATTTTTAAACATTCTTTTTAAAAAAGTTGTTAGCCACAGAACATCATAAAGAGCAGACACATTTTTGATTTTGGCATTCTTTCAAAACTAGAGTTGTGCCTGATCTCAATAGTTGAAATGCAGTAAATAAAAATGAATAAATCATACAAAATATAATGCTAATAAAAAGTCTGAGTTACAAATAATCTTTAAAGAAATGCAATTTTACTGTTTTCTGTAGAACACTAGCCTACACAGAATATACCAGCCCTTGGAAGCAGATAATTATGAATCAAAATGCAATTTGTTATTTGTGAAAGAGTGCTTTACCATTTTCCTTAAGATTTATTTTCTTATGTATAGCCTCTGTTAATCTTCTATTCCTTTGCTGGGCAAACTCTTTTATCAGAGAGTAAGAGTAACTTTCAGTTTTTTTTTCTTGTCCAAATTATAATCTTCATGTTTATGAAACAAGGATGAAGGGTGTGTGAAACAAGCAGCTGTAATACTTTACATTCAATTCAGCTCTTAGGTTAACCTAACTGCTACTAAAGGAGTTTTTACCACAGCAACTTCTCTTCTATGTTAGGTTAAATTTAGAGTTTTGAAATGATAAACTAATGGAAAGACTTAAGAGAAAACGAGTTCTCTGCTCATGCATATCTGAACACTACATGGAAAAAAAAATGGAGTAAAGAGAGGATAAAGTTTTAAAGTACACCAAAATTTCCCTTTCATTCTTAAGGTTTTAGTTAGTGACATTTACCTAAACTCCTGTTCCTAAAGATGAGTTTAGTAATGACAATCATTTCAATGTCCTCTCCCTTTTTTTAAATGGAAAATGAAGGAAACTGAAAGCCAACTAGTTGCCCTGGCCAGTATGGCTCAGTTGGTTGGGCGTGGTCCTGCAAAGTGAAAGGTCCATGGTTCAATCCCTGGTCAGGGCACATGCTTGGGTTGTAAGCTAGGTCCCCTGTTGGGGCGTGTGCAAGGGGCAACAGATTGATGTTCCTCTCTCACATCAGTGTTTCTCTCCCCCTCTTTCTCCCTACATAAACAAACAAACAAATATTTTTAAAAACAAAAAGAAAGCTAACTAATTGACATGACTTGATCAGGGCCATTTCAGGGTTTTTCCCTCTCCAGAAACCTCACACAAGGGCAAGGGTCAATAAAATTCTGCAGCTAACAGAAACCTAAGAGCAAAAGTGTCAAGAGAAACAAATGATTTATTAGCATTTGCAACTGGGATGGAAGTTTCCCCGAAAGACATCTTGGTACTTTCCTTAACCCTGTTGATGTAGGTGGTAGTTCCCTTTTGTGTCTCTGAGGTTCTTCAGGAACTAGTGAGGAGTCAAAACAAAATAGAATTAGAGAAAGGTCATTCTTAACCATGACAGGGAGATAGTGGGATTCTATGAAAGTGGTTGGAATCTTCAAAGTACCTAAGATCTTTTTGCCTGTAGTGTAGTGCTAAAAACACAAATGTAGGCAACAAACAGGCCCAGCTTTGAAGTCTGATTTCTTATTTATTAATTGTGAGACTTTGGGCAACGCATCACCTTTTTTTTCTCATCTTTAAAATGAAGACAACAAAAGTGTTTCCTGTGGTTCTCATCATCCTGGTCTCAGCTCCACTGTCATCTCCTGGAGTGGCCTTCCCTGACCGTTTTATGAGAAATAACTCCTTCCCATCAAATGACCTTGCATTATTCGTACCACTTACTAAAGTCTGAAATTACTTTTTCTGTTTGCTGGATTAGTGTGTTTCTATCTTGGTACTATAAGCTTTTTGATGATAGGTATCTTGGCTGACATTTACTGTGCTTTAAGTATGAGTGCTCAATAAATAATTGTTGGTGAACAGTTAGGTTTGCTGTGAGAATTAAATGAGAAAGCCCAAGTCCAGAAGTCAGCATGGTACCTAAAGCACATAACCAATTAAAAAAATCATGATCGCTTAACAAAGACATAGATTTTACTTTATGTGTTAGACATTGTTTTACAAACCCTATTAAGAACTCCATTTTATAGATGAGGAAACTAAGTCACAGAGTAACTTGCCCAAGATCATGAGGGTAGTAAAGGGCAGAGTTAGGATTCAAAGCCAGGCTTGAAACCAAAGTCTTATGCACTGAGTTTTGCTACCTTTGAAGAAATTAGTAATGTTAAAAATTTTATTTTGGGTGTAAAGGAGTGGGAAGCACATGGGCCGTTGCGTAGTCAAAGCAGACCTGAATCTTTGTCCTTTTCTCTGATTTGGGCAAAATACAAGAACGGGAAAATGCAATCGGTTTCAAGGGGAGGGAGTCGTATTTTCTTGAAGTGCACTGGCCCACAAGTCCAAGCCCGTCCCCCGGGTGTCCGGGGAACAGCCATCATCCTCAAAGGCAGGCCAGGTCCACGCCCGACAACGGGAGTCTTCCAGGCCCTCTCCGGCCTCAGGGACGCCGCGTGGCCGCGCCGCGCCCGGGACCTGGCAAAAAAAGTTTCCAAATCGCGCTGCTCAGCGCTGATTGGCCTATGCGGACGCGGTCCCGTAGCGCAGCAGCCAATGAACGATGCAGGCTGCGAGCGCTAGGGTGGGGGCGAGGGACGAGGTCTGGGCAGCACCGCCCTCAGCCGCCGCCGCTGTTGCGGTAGCCGGTCGTCTTCGTCGTCCGAGCCCGGGTAAGTGCGGAACTGCAGCCGCCGCGGGGGGTGAGGGCCGCGGGGAACCGTCGCCGCCGCTGGGAAACTCTTCAGCCCGCCGCACCCCCACACCTCGCCAGATGCGCTCTCGGGACCCCCGGCAGCCGTCTTGCAGCGACCCCGCGTCTCCCCTCGCTTGCCCGTCACTTTCCGGCTGCCTGGACTCAGCCGGTCTCGGGCGCCCGGCTCGAAATTCCCGCTTCCCTGGAGCCTTGTTTCCTAACTTGGTGCCTTGCCACCCTTGCGTCCTCGCGCCCGGTTCCTCTCCTTTGCCAACTTTCTTTTTCTTGCTGCCCTCCTCTCCCTCCTTGACTTCCTCGGTCCTGCCCTCCTCGTCCCCAGCCCTCGCAGCCCCGCTGCTCTGCCCTGCTGTTCCCTCCCACCCGAAACTCCCCTTGTCTCTTTTCTCGCCGTGTTTTCTGCCCCACTCAAACCCCGCTACCCCCTTTCCTTCTGCCCCAATCTCCCCGTCATTCCTCTTAGCCCTCCTTCTTGCCCACTTCCCCACCCTTTCATCCTCATTGTAGGCCTCTTTCCAAAAACCTCTTTTCTCCTTCCTCCTCCTCCCTCCCTTTGGGAACTTGTTTGGAACCGTCTCCTTCCCCCCGCGTTTCTCAGGTCTCTGCTGCAGGACGGTTCAGATTTCCCCTGACAGCACTTTGGGGACGGATTGGATACGGGATGAAAACGCTTATTCTACAGCTTGAATGCAGTGGCTGGGCGTACCTACCTCTCTGAGGTCCTGGGAAACCCCGCCATCCCCTTCACACCAATTTTGGGAAAGCTGCATTATCTTCTTCAGTCATCTCAGATTCTCTGCCTCCTGAGGGTCTGACCTTCCCTCACTTCTTTGTCCTAGAGTTCGTACCAGCTTGTACCTTTTCCACTGTCCTTTTATCCCGAGGTCTCTTTTTAACAAGAAACGGACTTTGCAGTGTGTGCTGGGCAGATATTTGTTGTTTTCTGTGCTAGTTCTGTTTGCGTATTTTAGAATAGGATGGCATTTTAGGGCATGGGTAGGATGCTTTGAAGAGGGATTGAATCCCAGTAACTCCCAGAGACACTTGTTAGTTGCTGTCACCCAACCACACACTCTGATAATCAATTTTTAAACTTAAATCTTTCCTCTAAGTGTATCTTTTGTGTAGGCTTAGATCCAAAAGAGCTGATTCTATGACCTTAAGTCTCAGGGGCTTCTGGTTGGTATATTTTATACCATTTTGCATAAGTGTATTCTTTTGCCTTAGAACATGTGAACCAGAGAGGTTACACTCCTGTTCCTCACAAGATAATTTCCTAATATGAACACACCTGTGTTTGGAAAGTTGTTGTCAGCCATAGTGCTGTGTTTGCACCCAGTGCTGATGTAGGTGCTTTGTATCTGCCTCTCCTAGTTGTGCCTGGCATTTAATAGGTGTTCAGAAATGTTTGAAAAGGGATGGAGGAGGGGAAAACTTTCCCTGGCATTTTGGTCCTGTAGAGTAAAATTATCCTGGAATAGTAGCTGTTCTATTTTTTTTCTGGGTTAAAATGTCAAAAGCAATATATGCTTACTGTAAAAGTCAGTAGCTCTATAGTATATATGGTAGTGTGTCAGGTGCAAGTTCTCATCTTAGTGCTGGCTTTACCCACATTCTCGTTCATCTTCCAGACCGTTTGTATGCAAAGAGAGATTTGTAAATAAAAATGGTGTCCTTTCTTAACATAATCTTTCTTCCATTTTAGTACATATAATTCTTTTTAACAACTGCATAGTTTTCCAGTCAGTCTTCTGTTTTCTGTTTCTCCAGTTTCCACATCTGTGAATGATGGTGTACAGCCTTGAGTGTTTGTCCTTGCATGCCTATTTTTTAGGTTGATCATTATAGACTCTGAAAGCACAAAGAAGCCAGACTTGCTGCCTCTTGACTGATCTTGCCCCAGTGATGTCACTTCTGCAAAGTGCAAAGCCTGCTTCATAACACAGAAGCTGTTGGAGCACGTGCTGGCTGGCATTTGGCACCTTTCTCTCCCTTCCTTTCCCTTCAGCTCTTCCATTTGTTTTGATTGGAAGGGATTGGGATTGGGGTAGAGAAGGCGATGAGTTAATTCCTGATGGTTTATAGGTGTGTATTGCGTCCTGACCAGCATGCCCTGACTTTCTTCACTCACAGGGAAGCCAAGAGAGATTGCTTTGTTTTTTCTAGTTTTGAAATCAAAGGCTTTTGTTTCAAGTGTGCTTTCAGACTTTTCTGTTGAGTTTAATCATGGAAAACATGCTAAGAAATGTGGTGAAACACATTTTTGTAGGAATAGTAGATCTAAGTTACAGAAAAATAGATACTTTTCAAACCACTTGTCCCAGTTTGTTCTTTCTTGTATTTTGTAGCACGTACAGTTGAGGTACCCATTGGATTTGTCCACAATGCTAGGGCACGGTGACTTAATGGTGTATTGAGCACACAAGAGATTGAATGCCTGTAGCACAGATTAAATAAATACTTGCAGTATCCATTTTTAAGACAGTAGGTACAAAGTTGTGTGCACCATTGACAAGAGTTAACATCTGCCTGTCACAGTGCCTTTTAAAAGATTGTATGGGCCAAATGAATGTGAATCTGACCTCTAATCAGTCTGTTTGCAACCCCAGGGAGAGCTTGAACTTGAATTTAAAGACAACTCCGTGCACTCCTGCCCTTTCACTGGGTCTAGTTTGTTTCTGCCATTCACTTGCACCAAAAGAGATGGCCAAGATGCTTCTGCTCCAACTTTTCCTAAGAAACCAAGTGATTGTCTTGCTTACTATTACAGTTGAATGGCTTAAAGAGGTTAAAGTTGTTTGAAACTGACTTATTAAATGCCCAGCACACAGCAAATAGAAGGTGATGATAAAATTCAGTAGATAGTGCTGAAAGAAGGGAACCTTTGCAAGTCATCTTACCTGCTTTCTGTGGTGAAGAATAATGCACATCAGAACTTTCTGAGACATTTTCACATGACAAAGGAAACATTTTTAAGATCACTGTTTCAAAACATAGTGAAGTTCAGCTATTGCTTCTTCACTCTTGGCCTGTAGTATATATTTTTCTCCTCCCTAAGGATTGTTTTTGAAATGCAGGGGTTTGGTTGAAATGCCAGGCCTGTGGTTTTTGCCCTTTAGTTGAAGGAGTCAGAGATTGTACAGGCTGTGACATAAGCTCAGGTCTCTGCTTAGTTTCTCCTTAGAACCTGAAATCCAAAACCAGATCCTTCCTATCAGCATGGTTGTAATTAGAACCCCTCCTGCAATGGAAGTGCCTCCTAAAACATCACAAATTCATTTCTTTCTTGAGGGCTAAGTTTTAAGTCTCACTGGTCATGATAACGGTGTTTTAAGAAGCCCTTTTTAAAAACTCACCTGTCATAAGAGTGCAGGATGGAGGTTATTAAACTCCAGTAAGTATGTCAGATACTCTTTGTCACGTGAAACTGGGGAGGGGGTAGTTTCAAACATAGTATCCTTTCCTCCCACCCCTTCCCATTAAGCATGTGCCATTCGGGTGCTGAAGGAGAGGTTTTCCCCATCAGATAAGCATTGTAAGGATTTACAGATTAAATTATAAACTGACCTTCAGAGGGTCTCTTGCTTCTTGCCTTTCCTTAAGCTCATATTCCCTTCTAGCTATTGGCCAATCTCTGTCTTCCTCTCTGTGCATTCATTCCACAGCATTTATTAAATGCCTGTCATATGCCAGGCATTGAGGATATAAAAGACGGAGAAGTTGTATGTTCGACAACTGACATTCCAGTGAGGGAAGATAAACAAAAACAAAACATATAAAGTGATAAAATAAAGTGGGGATTAATATGATAGCAAAGGGCTGGAGGGGCATTTGCTGGTATTCAAATAAGGTCTCTCTGGAGGAGACGTTTTAGCTGAGATCTGAATGGCAAGAAGGAATCCTGCTGAGAAAAGAGCTGAAGGAAAAGCATTCCAGGCAGAGAGAACAGCAAGCGCAAAGGCCTTGATGTAGGGTGAGCTTGGTGTGTTCAAGGAACAGAAAGAAGGTGGTGTAGCTGGAGCATAAGCAAGTGGAGAGGTAGGGAGGTGGGAAATGTTTAGAGAAGTGGCAGGGACTAATTATGTTGAGTCTTGGACATGACCTTTTTCCAAACAGCAGGGAAAGTCAGTGGGCATTCATTGTTCCTAGTTCCTCAGTTTATCACCCTACTGTACACAGACCTCCTCCCATGCCATGCATTTGTCCTTAATAAGATCGTTATTGGCCGCACAGTGCTAAGTTACATAGAGTTGCATGGGCTCTGTCCTCTGGACACTATAGATACTGGTTTGGTGACTGCATATTAGCTGCAGTCTGGACTCTAGAGCTTATGGCTAGGGAGCACCATACCTAGGTTTACCCTTACCCGTTGTCATGTTAATTACTGTTATTTACACTCTAGGTACCCCATTCTACTTAGAGCAAACAAGATCTGTCACTCCGTATATTAATTAGAACCCTCTTCTAGCAGAAATCTAACCCTAACTGGTACAATCAAGAAAGGGACTAAATTATCTCTCATAACCATAAATTAGGGACAGCTGGATCCTGGTGCTCAAACAAGACCCAGTCTCTCCAGTCTTGGTCCTGCTTTCCTGCTTTGGCTTCATTCATAGGCTGCCTCCTCTCTTGTGGTAGAATGAGGACTGGCACTCTGGGCTTGCCTCCTACTATCTGACATCCTAGTGGAAAAAGAGAGATCATCTTTCTTTTTCCCCTCATTATGGTTATAATTGACGTGACATTGTGTAAGTTTAAGGTGTACCACATAATGATTTTATGTATGTATCTATATATTGCAAAATGACTATTATAATAAGATTAGTTAACACTTCTAAAGAGTTTGTTTCTCAATAGCTCTGCAAAAGGCCTGGTTCTGGACATTTACTGGCTTAGCTTCAGTTAAGCCCGCTTATTGGCTCAGCTTGAGTTAAGTCTGCCCCTAAACCAATAATTTGTTCAGCTTGCATCAGGCTAATCCCTCTTGTTGGCTCAGTGTTGGTTAGGCCCACCCTGGAGCCAGTTACTGACGCTGGAGGCATGAGGAGTCATATGCCTTCTCCTAGATACAGAAGATGATGTCAAATTCCTCTCAACCACATGGGACGAATGTAGGGTCAGTCCCCTCAAGGGAATATTGGGGTGCTGTTACAGAAAGATGGAAGAAGGAGTGATGGGAAAAAAATCAACAATTAACAGCTTTCTACTCTACTTGGCTTCTCTGTTTAGATAAGTGTTCACAGAAACTGTTCTACAGAAGGGGTTAGGTAGGGTACATGGCATGCTTTCTCAGAATTAGGAAAGGGGGAGAAATTAGGAGGGAGAGAAGATGCACATACAGGTAGTAGCAAATGTAGAGTTATGTAGCAATAAGTGCTATACTCGAATGTATGTATTCAACTTCTGCTGGAATCCAGAGGTTGGTGATTGTGCCTGTGGTGATTGTGTCTAGTATATTTAGATGAGTGATTTAGCCCCAAATACAGCTTGTTGGTTATGTCTTGTAAAGTGAGGGGCTGTGTTCATTCCTTTGTCCCCAAGGACACACACTGCAGACTGTAAGCTCCCTTGGAGGAAGGAAGGGACCTTGTAGGCATCTAACTTGGATTCCTAATGACCTTTTGACAGGCTCAGAGTCTTAAATAAATTCAGAAAATAAGCTATACATCGAGAGACTATCAGCAGAGAGTCTATAAACTGACGACTATAGAATATGTAATATGGAACACAATATGTTTTCTAACCTCTGCTCTGCATATCTTAAAGTTCTCCAAGCCAAGGCCCCTGTCTCCCACTCCCTTCTAGCTACTGTCAAATTTGTCTCCTTTCTTCTCACACCCAGTTCTCCTAAACCCCATGGATTTCCTCTTCCTTACCTCCTACATACTCCTCCACCTAGTTTATTTCTCCTCCCTCCTCCACTGTGTTGGAACTATTCTTGCTCACATTACCAGTGACCAACATTTTGCTAAGTCTGGTGGATATTTTCCAATCCTTATCTTCACCAGCTTCTCTGTTGCTTCATGGATACTATAGAATGTTCCCCTTTCTCCCCCCTTGAAACTATCTACTCCAAGACTGCTCACTCTTCCTGGTTCTCATTTTTCTGTTTCTCCTCTCTCTCCTCCAATTACTGTTTCCTTCCTTGCCCCCTTTCGAATACTGGCATTCCTCAGGGTTCCATAAATAGTCCTCATTAGATTCTCCAGTGGTTCCATCACAGGGGAAAGGGGAGCACCAGCTACAAACTTATGACTCTTAAATTTGTATCATTAGCCCAAACTTTACCCCTGAGTTTCAGATTCGGTGTCGCATCTAGATGTGTCACGAGCGTGTCAAACTAATAAAATCCCAAACTTGGTTCATTATCCCCTTGTCCTGAAGATTTTCCTTCTGATGTTCTGTGTCTCTGGTGATGGGGACAGTGGTGGCATCCAGATGGCTAAGCTAGAAACCCAGGAGATGTCCTCGCCTCCATCCTTTCCTTATTTCCTCTCCTCCCAATGGAGTAAGTCAGCAAATCCTGGCAGTTTTATCTCTCCATGGAATGAAACATGGAGGTGGGCTATATTTTGTCTGGGTTTAGTTTTAGTGTTTTGATAATGTTTTATCATTTAATCCAATATAAAGTTCAGGATTTTTTTTTTGCCCATTAAAGATCAGCTGTTTAACCAGGGTAATCATTTTAAAACTTTCTCTCCTAGATGCCATGCCATAAAAAGAGTGATCTCTTCTCCTATTTTCACAATGGAGGACTCTGGGAAGACTTTCAACTCTGAGGAAGAAGATGCTAACTATTGGAAAGATCTGGCTATGACCTACAAGCAAAGGTCAGTTCTCCAAAGTTCACCTTGCTTTCTCTTCCGAAAATGATGGCAACGGTCATTTTGCGGGGTTAGGGGGCATATTATGTGACAAGCACTGTGAAGGCTTAGCATACGTTATCTCACTTAAATCTTAAAACTGCCCCATGAAACAACCATTATCACCGTATTTTACAAATAAGGAAACAGCCTCAGTGAAGACAAGTAACTTGCCAGGTCAGACAGACAGTAAGTGGCAGAGTTAGAATTTGAACTCCAAAGCCTATGGTCCTAAGCAAACTACTAGTTACCATCTTACTTTCTGGCAGGGTTTGATCAGTTCCCGGATGCCATATCTGGCCAGTGCTTTTTGTGTGAGGAAAGAACTCCATGTGCCTAGCAAAATGGGTTGTTGCAGATTGTGAAATCTGAAACCAGTATTTATTTCAGTGCCTGTATCTGGGAGTTGTGAGTGTGTGCGTGTTTAGCACTGTTTCTTTTATTTCTCATGGACTCATAATCTCCTTGTGGAGGCCTCATTCCATTTCCTCAGATTTCTTTGTTCTTAGTTTGACTTAAACTCAGGCTGGTATTTAAAAAAAAAGGTCCCTTGCATTTTCGGGATTGAGAAGCTAGAATTGGGTATTTGGGATAGGGTAGGGACACACTACGTGTATGTTATGTGCCATTGAATTGGTTCCAACTCCTGGCAACTCTGTGAATGAGTGATGTCCACAATGTCCTGTCTTCAACAAACCTACTCAGCTCCTACCCTGTTTCTCCTCTCTCCCCTCCAATTACTGTTTCTTTCCTTACCCTCCACCCCCTTCAAATACTGGCATTCCTCAGAGTTCTATAAATAGTCCTCATTAGATTCTCCAGTGTTTCCATCACAGGAGAAAGGGAATCCTATGGCTTCTTTTATGGAGTCAATTCATCTCTTGTTTGGTCTTCCTCCTTTCCTGCTGCCTTCTATTTTTCCCCAGGATTATTGTCTTTTCCAAAGAATCTTGTTTTTCATGATGTGTTCAAAGTAGCTTCAGTTTGTCATTTTTGCCTCCACTAATGTTTCAGGCTTAATCTGCTCTAGGATCCACTTGTTAGTCTTTCTGGTGGTCCAGAGTATCTGTAGGTCTCTCCTCCAACACCATATTTTACATGAATCAATTTTTTTACTATTGGTCTCCTTCACTGTCCAACTTTCACACCTGTACACAGTATCAATAATTGGGAATACAAAGGTGTGGATAATCTTACCCTTGGTCTCTAAAGACATCTTCACTCTTGGTGCTCTTTCTTAATTCTTCTGCATCTCAGCCTTGGCTGCAGTTTCTATTTGAATTGATGAGTAAGCAAAGGTAAGCAAAATCTTTAACAAATTTGATGTTCATTGTCTATGTTAAAGTTATATATTTTCTTCTATAGGCATGATTTTTATCTTCTTTATGGACACATAGTGTGTGATAAGAGACATTTATATTATATTCAACTTCTACTTATAAATAAATATGAAGAGGATACGCAGTCCAAAATATATTTACTACATGTTGGGCTCAAAAATATGTTGAAGGAATGAATGAAGAGTGAATTGATGAAGAAATGGCTCTGGCGACAGGCACTGCTGAGTTCAGGTCCAAGCTCTGTTTCTGACTTCCTATGTGACCTTGAGACGAGAGTCACTCATCTTGTCTATACCTCATCTTTTCATTTGTAAAATGAGGATAATGATAACTTCTGCCTTAAAAGATAGTCGAATACAGAGCTGATCCATGTATAACACTCAGTAGCATGTAAGTGCTCAGTATGTTATTATTTGACATCTGGGAATTCTGCTGCAGGGCAGAGAATACACAAGAAGAGCTCCGAGAATTCCAGGAGGGAAGCCGAGAATACGAAGCTGAGTTGGAGACACAGCTACAGCAAATTGAAACCAGGAACAGGGACCTCCTGTCAGAAAATAACCGCCTTCGCATGGAGCTAGAAACAATCAAGGTGAGGGAGGCGAGAGGAAATGCACTCAGGTAGCGACAGGTTTCTAGTGTGGTGTGTGGGACTGGCTGGGAAAAGGAGCCCTGCAGAGTTGGGGGCCGTGCTCTGGGCTCACTCCCCCAGTCAGGCCTGTGGGTGGATGTGGTAGTTGAACTTTTTATGCTTCAGGAGCTCTGGGAGAAGCAAGTCACACACATTTCCCTAGAGCCATTATTGGATTGTCTATAGTAACTTAATAAGGCATGTGCAGAGTAAACAGTTTTAGAGTATGGAGTGTTCCTAGAATTGTTGATCATTATATTATAAGGTCTAGGGTTATGTTTTCTAGTATGGTAGCCCCTAGGCACAAGTAGCTACTGGTATTTAAATTAATTAAAATAAAATAAGTAAAAATTCAGTTCCTCAAGTATACTGGCTATGTTTCAAGTGCTCAGTAGCCACATGTCTATAGTGCGTCTCATTATTGGACAGACGCTGTAGAGTGTTGCCATCATAATAGAAAGTTGTGTTGGACAGTGCCAGTCTGGAGCAGGTTCCTCAGCCTGGGCACTGTTGATATTTGAGACCAGATAATTCTTCATTGTGAGGGCTGAGTTTTGCATTGTAGGATGTTTAGCAGAAACCCTGGTCTCCACCCACTAGATGCCAGTAGAGGCCCCTCTCCAGGTATGACAGCCAAAAATATCTCCATACATTGCTAAGTATCTGGAAAAGCAATGCTCCAAAGGGTAAAGACTACCTTTTTTGGACCTTCTGTAGGGCTTAGCACATGATCATTGACACTGAGTGTAACACTGTGCCAGGCAGATCGCCTTACCAGCTTTGTAAACATCAGACAGGGCTGAACCCACCCCCGCCCTGAGATTCCTGTTCTTATTAAGTCTGGGTGGGGCCCCAGCATGTCTGCATATCTTTTCACTTATCTCCTTTTTAATAAAGCTCCCGTGTAAATTTTGATGAGCTGCCTTGGGAAAGTGCCAAGGCCTCGCAATGTGGGCCAGGGCTGGGTGTGATGGAAAGAGACCTGCCACTCACCCTCTGGAAGCTTCTTGGGGAAGACAAACCTAACCCCAGGAAGCACTTAGGGAAAAGATACTGAGTTACATGTCACTGACCATGAGATTCTCCTGAGAGAAAAGGGTCTGCATGGGTTGGAGACAGCTTCATGGGGCCACCAGGGAGGGACCTGAGCTAGTGTTTGAAGATGGGGTGCGGTGTATAACCAGTGGCTTGGTGCCCAGGATTGATAAAGAGTTCATCTGGACCTGCCATAGACAGGGACAAGTATGAGGGTCAAGTGGACCTTGAGAGTCCTGGCTTTACTGATACATGGGAAGAAGTAAGACCAAAAAATGGATTGGGAATTGAGAGAGGGGGAGGGACAGAGGAAGGCCCCAAAGACCTTGGAAACTGAGCAGTGGAGTTCAAGCTTTTGTGTTTAGACCACAGATCCCAAAGTAGCTATCTGCAGATCGGCCTGGCCCATAGATGCTGTTTGCTTTGCCTTTAGTGGTTTTTATAACGTGCCTTTAGCATTTTACCGTGAAGATTTTCAAGCACACAGCAGAATTGAAAGAACTTCCCAGTAAACACCTGTATATCCACTACCCAAGCTTTACCAGTAACCCTTGCCATACTTTTTATTACATATCTCTCCATCCATCAATCTGTCTTATGATTTGATGCATTTCAAAGTGAATTGCAGGCATCTAGAAACTTCCTGGTAAATACTTCAGCATGCTGTTAGTATCTAGAGTTGAGGGTGTGTTTAGTGTATTCTTTTGAGAGTAAAATTTATATCTTTAATATCAACATGCAAGGTTGTGAGGCTGTAAAAATCTGGAATTCTGATTTCCTTTCAGCATTGGCAGATCTGGCCACACAAGGCCTGCATTCTTTCATAGCAGCAAAAAGCCGAGTAGTGGTTTCTTAGACAGAGCAAGCATTCTCCAGTTCACCCCAGTCCCTACTGCTGCCCCCCCGCACCTCCAACACTGGAGGAGAAGTGTCACTTCCTCTATTCCTACACCTGGCCCACTCCACTCATGCTGTTAACAGCCTGGCCCCTGCAGGCATTAATATTTGATCCCTGCCATAGACATTGAAGACTTACAGATCTTAAATTTAAGGGGTCTTGGGGATGGAAAACTATGGAAGGAAGATCAGTGGTATGGCCAGTGCTATAGAAAGGGAAGGGGACCCTCCGTGGATGCTGAGTAAATATCAAGCTATTACTAAGTAAGTAACAGGTTCAAAACTGAGCACTTGAACCTGTAGAAGACCCTCATTCCAACCATGTGACAGATCCATGGGACTCAGAGCCTAGAACAAGGAAAGAAATAGAAATACCCAAAGAAGGGCCACCAGCCCATGTTTGTCACCTAAAAGAAATGTATTCAGCTGAATAAGCCTCTTGACAACTGGCTTATTCATCACAAGTTGAATAAAAAAGCCTGTAAGTGATCAGACAGAGCATCTATTGATGCCTCCATCAGCTGACAGCTCATTATAATTAGCCCCAAATGAAAGCACAACATGTCAGCAACAGCTTTTCATGTCCACAAGTTCAGAGGACATCCTTTGAATCATTATGCTGGTGGAGAAGCCCGTTAACTGCATCTTCTGAGAACCTGAGTTTGAATTTAGGTTAATAACCTAGGATCCTGTACCCTCTTGTTTTATCTGGAGGTGCACCCACCTAAAAGGTGTGAGGCCATCAGAGCCACGCCTGGGAATTGGCTGTGCACAGGCCTGGTCTTCCCCTGTCTGCCTCAATGGGGACGCTTCTTCTGCACACAGCCAGGAAATGGAGTATCAGAGGGGACATAGCAGGCTGAGCGTGTGGAATGTCCTTCGTGTCCTCACCCTACAAATCTGCTGGTTCTGTGGGCGTTGTTCTTCACACTGACTCTCCACGCCTCTCAGGCCTAGACACCATTATGTCATTCTAGCAACAGCTTTGTTTACTCAACTGGGTAAAGAAAAGGAAGGGGTTTGACTGTTTTTCATAACTTTCTAATTAGACCTTGGGCCTTTCCTGTGGGAAGTAGATGTTTTCTTTAATGTGCGGTGGATGAAGGAAATGTAGTGAGGGTGTTTGGTGAAGATGGGGAGAGGGAGAGGAAAGAAGGAAGGAAAAAGGGAGAGAGAGTGACACCTATATCACCTCGATTGATGTGGTTAGGGCAGTTTATCATAGGGTTTTTTTGGTGGTTTTTGTTTTTGTTTTTGTTTTTTTTTTAAGAGAACAAGCCCAGGTGGCCCAGGTTGGATCTTGGCTCAGTTATTTGCTACCAGGTGACTTCAGGCTAATTAAATAACTGAGCCTCAGTGCCCACATCTCTGAAAATGGCATTAAATGAGGCAATGTAATTAGCCTACTGAACACAGACGCTGCCACACAGTAAATGATAAATGTTAGCTGCTACAATTGGGCAGCAACAGATCACTAAAAAGTCATCTTGGAAAGCACTAAGGTTCCTTCCATAATTTATAACAGGTTTTTAAAAATTTTTATTTTTGTTCCTTTCCTCCCGCCCGCCTGCCCGTCTGCCCTTCCTCCCTCCTTCCCTCCCTCCCTCCCTCCCCTTCTTCCTTCCTTCCTTCCTTCCTTCCTTTCCTCTCCCAGAGGTCCAGAAGTTCTAACTCACCCATGCTGCAGGCGGAGTATTCTGGATCACAAAGTCAGAACAGTTGTCAGACTTAGTACATGATGTCCTGCTCTTATTGTGTGGGACATGCAGCCAAAGTCATTGTGATCCCTGATGTTCTCTTTGTGATCCAAGGATGTGATGTGACATAGACTCGTATTGCCCTCGTGGACAAGTCTTGGAGAGGTTTATGTGGCTTTCCATGGCCATGGACACCTTGAGCAAAGCAATTGCTTTGAAGATAGTTGGGCGCTCCTTGACACCAGAGGCTGCAAGGACCAGGTTTGGGAGGGGGCAAGGTACAAGATGCTCAGGGGGCTGGGAGGCAGGAAGCACTCTAGACCTGACAGCCCCCTGTTCTGCCCACTTCTGTGACATGCTTAAGGGTCCACATCTGTTGAGAAAAGGTTGTGTGGACTGTAGTTAGGCTTGTCCCCTGGCTGTAGCAGGAGGGTGGGATAGGAAAGCTGAAGCTTCTTTAGTGAGTGTGAGGGGAGGACTAATCCCATGAAGACCCTGTCATAACAGAAAGATAAATCCCCTAAAGAAATCAGGGTGCTGGCAGGCTGTGGAGAGTGGGGGGAAAGGATGCTCCATGTTTAAAAATAACACGCATCCACTATGACAGGAGTACGTATGTATGTTCCAGAATTAACCTTCAGTGTTTGAAGGACATGACAGGGAGGGGAGAGATCACCAGAACTTATCAGAAGTCTCAAATCGTTCACTCGTTGATATTGTCCTTTAGGAGAAGTTTGAGACGCAGCATTCCGAAGGCTACCGGCAGATCTCCGCCTTAGAGGATGACCTAGCCCAGACAAAGGCCATTAAAGATCAGCTGCAGAAATATATCCGAGAGCTGGAGCAAGCAAATGATGACTTGGAAAGAGCAAAAAGGTATGTCAGGATGGAGAAAACAGGTCTTGGAGCCTTTTGTCTCGCTTTTTGCCTCCAGCACCCCGGGACCCAGGCACTACATTGAGAATAGAGAATTCAGCAGTGAGTGGAACCAAGCCAGCATCCTTATAGATCTTACAGTCTCATAGGCAAATAAGTGCAACTTAATTACAGCAGTAAGTGCAGGATGTCATGAGGTGACAGGGTATCTTAATTTGGCCATTGGTGAGAGATTGTCTGGCAAGGCTTCCCAAAGGAAATGCCATGGGGAGGCAAAGAATGAGGGGTGCATAGGCATTATTCAGGGGGTGAGTGGGAGGTGAGAATGTTCCAGGCAGGAGGACAAGCATGTACTACATGAATAAGGCCTTACGGTAAGAAGGAAAGAAGCATGTTCAAGGAACAATATTTCTTAAATTGATCATTGTTATTTAGCAGAATACTAACAGTATTCAGTTAGTATTCTGGCATTTATTGAATAACTATGCTGAGCCAGGTGCTATTTTTTTAAGAAAACACTTAAAAATTTTTTGATAAAAATTATATACAGTGGCACGCACAGATGTTAAGTGCACAGTTCCAGCAGTTTGCACTAGTGCGTATATTCATGTAACCCACATACCCGTTAAGACGTGGAACCTTTGCATTGCCCCACAGTTTCCTGCATATTTTAGTGGTTTCTTTAGGGCCCACAATATGCAAGCTGAACTTTTCAGTCTAGTTAGTTAATATTGTGCCACTTCAGGTAAAATGCAACAACCTTGCAACCTTATCCTTTTGTTTACCATCCTCAAACTTTATGTTGTAGTTGTAATAGCTATTATTACATTTATAAATGCTATGGATTCCACAACATGATGTAATTTTTCCTTTAAAAAGCCAGGTGTATTCTACAGAAATTAAGAGGGTTAAAAGATAGCCTTTTATATTTATCTCCATATTTACTGTTTTGGGTTTATTCCTTTCGAAGGATCTGGGTTTCCCTCTGGTATCATTTCCCTTAAGCTTGGAGAACTTGTAGTGCACAGCTGCTGACAATGAATTCTCCTAGTTTGAGTTTATCTGAAAATGTTTTCATTTGCCTTCACTTCTTAAAAAAAAATTAAAAAAATTTTATTAATTGATTTGAGAGAGAGAGAGAGAAACGTTTGTTGTCCCACTTATTTATGCATTCATTGGTTGATTCTTGTATGTGCCCTGGCTGGGGATTGAACCCACAACCTTGGTCTATTGGGACAGCACTCTAACCAACTGAGCTACTTGGCCAGGGCTAAAATTCTTTTAAATAGACCCTTTTTTAAAAAAGCAGTTTTAGGTTCACAGCAATACTGACAGGAAAGTACAGAAAGTTTCTATATATCCCCTGTTCCCACACATGTACCAACTTCCCACTATGGATATCCCTACCAGAATGGTACATTTGTTATAATCAAGGAACCTACATCCACACAGCATTATCACCCAAAGTCCATTCTTTGCATTAGGGTTCACTTTTGGTGTTGTACATTTTTGGGGCTTGGACAAATGCATGATGCCATGTATCATTGTGGTATCATACAGACTAGTTTCACTGCCCTAGAAATCCTCTGTGCTCTGCTAATTCATTCCTCCCTCCCCTGACTCCTCTTAACTGCTTATCTTTTTACTGTGTCCATAGTTTTGCCTTTTCCAAAATGTCATATAGTTGGACTTAAAGAATATGTAGCCTTTTTGTATTGGCTTCTTTCACTTAGTAACATACATTTAAGGTCCTTCCATGCCTCTTCATAGCTCATTTCTCTTTAGCACTGAATAATATTCCATTGTCTGGATGCATCACAGTGTTTTTGTTCACTCACAGATTTTCTGATGGTAAACATGTAAATTAAGCAGAGGAGTGAGGTTCTAGGAAACTTCAGAGGAAATATATGAATTTATCATTTGCTTAAATACATGTCACCCCCCCCCCCCCCCCCCCCCCCCCCCCCCCCCCCCCTTCCGTTTTTTTTTTTTTTTTTCCCCTCCCCTCCCCCCCCCCCCCCCCCCCCCCCCCCTTCCCTTTTTTTTTTTTTTTTTTTTTTTTTTTTTTTTCCTTCTTCTTTTTTTTTTTTTTTTTTTTTTTTTTTTTTTTTTTTTTATATTGAAAAAAAATATTATTTTTTTTTTCTCCTCCCTTTTTTTTATTTCTTATTCTCTCCCACTCCCCCCCCCCCCTTTTTTCCTTTTTTTTTTTTTTTTTTTTTTTTTTTTTTTTTTTTTTTTTTTTCATGTAATTCTTTTTGCTAGTCCTATGTAGCTTTGCCAGGTCTCTAGAAAGTCTTTGCCCATTTTATGAGCTCACAAGTATAAATATATATGTGGTTGGATGAGGATTCATCCAACAAAAATTCTATCTTTGATAGAAGTTCCACAGGACATTTTGTGAATGAACATAGTTGTACTCCAAGGTACCAACCCTAAAATGTTATACCATGCCTGTACCAGCCCTAGTTTTTCCTTAGTTATCTGCTAATTATACTCAACAAAAGAGAAATGCCTTGAAATATATAGAAAGTACTCCTGCACTAATTAATCATATTATCAAGATTGTTGTTGGTTTATTGGGCACCAAAGGAAACATACCTGTCAGATAGCAAATCACTTTAATGGCCAAAGGTGAACAGATTAGATCATTCAAGCCCTAAAATAGTTTTTAATGATTGATGTCCTTCCACATTTTCTTTTGCTTTGGATCAGCAATAACATTATGTTCATTCAGCAAATCTATAAACAACAGCTTAAATATAGCAAAGCTATGTACATTTCTTAGTGTTAATTTTATTTCAGATATTTTAGCCTTTTAGTACACTTTTTAAAAAAAATTTTCAATTATAGTGAACATACAATATTATATTAGTTTCAGATGCACAGTATAGAGATTAGACATTTATAAAACTAGTGAAGTGATCTCCCTGAGAAGTCTAGTACCTGTCTGATACTGTATATAGTTATTAAAGTAATGACTATGTTCCTTATGCTCTGCTTCACATCCCTATGACTATTCTATAACTGGTAATTTGTACTTTTTATTCCCTTCTTTTTCATCCATTCCCCAACCTCCCTCCCATGTGGCAACCACTAGTTTGTTACCTTTATCTTCTTTATCCATTCATCTATTGATGGACACTTAGGTTGCTTCCATATCTTGGTTATTGTTAATAATGTTACAGTGAACATGGAGGTGCATATATATTTTTGAATTAGTATTTTGGATTTCTTTAGATAAATACCCACAAGTGGAATTGCTGGGTTACATGGCAGTTTTATTTTTATTTTTTGAAAATTTCCAGTCTGTTTTCCATGATGGCTCTATCATTTGACAACCCCACCAACAGTGCAGGAGGGTTCCCATTTCTCCACATCCTCACCAACACTTACTTTTGTTGATTTATTGATGATTGCCACGCCGACAGGCATGAGATGATAGCTCATCGTAGTTTTAATTTGCATTTCCCTGATGATAAATGATGTTGAGCATATCTTCACGTGTCAATTGGCCACCTGTATGTCCTTTTTAGAGAAATGTCTATTTAGGTCCTCCACCCATTTTTTTAATTGGATTGTTTGTTTTTTTGATGTTAAGTTGTATGAGTTCCTTACATATTTTGGACATTAACCCCTTATTTGATGTATTGTTGGCAGATATCTTCTCCCATTCAGGAGGTTGTCGGTAGTCTTATCTTTTTTTTTTTTTTTTTTTAAGATTTTATTTATTTCCAGAGGGGAAGAGAGGGAGAGAAACATTAATGTGTGATTGCCTCTCATGCACTTCCTACTGGGAACCTGGCCTGCAACCCAGGCATGTGCCCTGACTGGGAACGGACCCCTTGCTTCTCAGGCGGACACTCAATCTACTGAGCCACACCAGCCAGGGCAGTTGTCTTACTGTTTTGTCGATGGCTTCCTTCACTGTGGAAAAACTTTTTAGTTTGGTGTAGTCCCAATTTGTTTATTTTTTCTTTTGTTTCCCTGTCCTAGGAGAAATATCCAAAATATGTGATGTCAGAGTTTACTGCCTATGTTTTCTTATAGGAGTTTTATGGTTTCAGGTCTTAAATTTAAGTCTTTAATCCATTTTGAGTTTATCTTTGTACACGATGTAAGAAAGTGATCTAGTTTCTCTCTTTCGCATGTATCTGTGCAGTTTTCCCAGCACCATTTATTGAAGAGGTTCTCTTTACCCCATTGTATATTCTTGCCTCCTTTGTCATAGATTAGTTGACCATATAGACATAGATTTATTTCTGTTCCATTAATCTATGTGTGTCTTTTTGTGACAGTATCATGCTGTTCTGAATACTATAACCTTTAGTATAGTTTGATATCAGATAGAGTGATACCGCCAGCTTTGTTCTTTCTCAAGATTGCTTTGGCTATTCAGGGTGTTCTGTAGTTCCAACAAATTTTAGAATTTTTGTTCTAGGTCTGCGTGAACAGGGGTACCCTGTCTCATGGAGTCTACCTGGCCATAGCAGATGAAGAAATAAGTCATTGCAGACACATTTGGTCTGCCAGGAGAAAGGGATGGCGATTCCCTCTATTGGAGAATGCCCTGAGCCCCTCTCTGAAGCGGCATTTATTGAGGAGATTTGTGCAGAGGTATACAGCATACATGCATAGCTCATCAATTAGAGTGAGAGGGATACAGCTGACAGAAAACAGACATTGGTCACAGATAACAATAGAAGAAACATAAAGTTCAGCCTTAGGTTAGGGTCTGCTAGATACATCGATGCCAGATGGTCATTAAGGCATGGTACAAGGACTCAGGAATTCTCTCCTGCCTTGAAGTCCTGCACCTGGTTTACCCTTATCAGGGTGGTGAAAAGCAGAGTGAGCTCTAGTGGATACAGTGTATTTCTTAAGCCAGATTTCCCACAGGAACCAGTAGGTGCCAGCATCGGGTCATGCCTGCCTCCCAGCATTCCTGGCTTTCCAGTTGATGCTTACAGGCCCCCCTCAGGGCCTGGCTCGCGTGGGGC